GTGTATATAATTAAGAGCGTGAAAAACGAAATTCTCTCTTGGGGATTAATGAAGCTGCTTATTCTTCTAAAAACAATTGATTCAATACCAAAACTTAAACGGGCTCCGACCCGCCCACATCCATGTGTTAGCAGGGACAGAAGTTAGGCCACATGCATAAGCAACCATTTTGTTGCAGAAATGTTTAGTTTTAAATATGTGAACGATGAGTGTCCTGTTGTGTTGTCTTAACAGTTTTCTGTGACACAAGCAACAACATACAAACGTTTTGAAAATGGTCTTTATTGCATTAGAAATTCAAGACTTGAACACTCAAAAGGGACATAAAACATGCTAGGAAAATCCCTGCTTATGCTACTGAAGAAAATATGTCATGCATACAGAAATGAGGCCATACTGAATGACTTAACTCATAATAACAGTGTTACATTTGAGAGTCAAAGTCAGCTTATTTAAAAGTTACATTTGAAAGTGTTTGGTAGGTTTTCAAAGAAGACATTTTTGATTGTTAAGTTTGATTAAATGTACAACTCAGCAAACTCATAATAGAATACAGAGTGACTATGTGTTCTGGTTAAATGCAAAGATTTGGAGAATCTATTTAAACAGAAACATCACAAAGAACATTTACAATGTTGCGCAAATTCCACAATAAAGCAGGTATTGATTATTTCAATTAAAATGACATAACATTGCCAAATAGTTCAACTTAAGCCTCTTAATGTTTGAATACATACTGTACACAGTAAAAACCTCATTGTACAAACAAGTTAAGGTGTTTCCCTCCTATGAGTTGAGACCTCTTAAGAGGTAGGGTGGAGGCCCTGGTTGTTTCTACGTTACTACTAGTTATACAACAATCCAACTCAAAAGACATGACAACCTATTTTTGAGCAAACAAGGTCAAGAACCTTTTTTATGCTTAATAGCACAAACAAGCATAAAGTCATTGCACAATAATGAGTAAGTAATGATAACGTGTTATCATGCAAGCATAACACAGAACAGATGCAGAAGATTCATGCAGCGATGCAAGTGTGTTATTATGGCACATATTTAGAAGCCACTGCTTTGTCGAGGGAGCCTTTGTGATGCTAACTTCTGGGTCGGCCGAGAAAAAGATGTCATCACTGCACCACTCTGCCGTTGCAGCTGGTGTGATCCTATTGCCTGATGTCTCTAGTTATATCTGTGCTACATACACAATTTGCAGACATGATTGAATGTTGCCTGATGCTGCTTACAGTATGCTAACTTTTTGCCCCAGAAAGTGTCAATAAAAAGTATGCCTTAACTTTAAACAATACATTGCATTACAAAAAACATTCAACAATGCAACTTTTCTCTTGATACGGGAACGTACCATGCAGATTTTAAATGTTCACCTTGCATAATTCATCCATTTTCAAAAGTTTGAGGGTTTTAGCAGTCTGCATTTACCACAAGTAGCAAATGTGCAAACCTTAACGATGTTAGCTGTAGCTACACACATGGTGTGTTTTCTATTGGTTTTGTATGCAATTGCACTGCAACAAAAATGAACCTTGTGTTCTAACATGCGTTACATCAATGCAAATCTTGATTGTAATCAATGTTTTGGGTTTCCATACTTATACATTAAAGCATTTTTATCATAAAAGGCACATGATTTAAAGCAATGCACATTTATTTTTTGGATCCCTGAAAAGCTTTCATTTTCGTAAATCAGTATTGCAAATCTATTTATTTACACATTTGACAATCAAATATTAAATAGCAAATTATCCCTACAAAATGTTGTGTATCAAATGTGTTGCACATTAAATGTAATTATTCAAAAACACGTTTTCGAGACTAAAAATAACCAGTTTCATCATTATGACTGTGGACGCACTAAATACTAGAACAGTAGGTTAAACTCCCAACAATTATGTTTCCATCCAACAAATTAGCTTTTCATTAACTTGAGAAAGATATTTTCTCCTGGATTAGAATTGTTCTTGTTTATTACAAATGCATTTCTGATCAAGGTCAACATAAGTCAGTGTATAGCAGAGATCGGGTTGGCTGGATGAACACAAAAAAGGGACTTTCATCCAATGTGGCTCGTGTGAAACTAAAGTCGATGTTCACTTTAACCCATTTAAGTCCTTAACTTCAATAGCGTAACAAGATTTATTATTGTGCCTCATAGTTCTGTTGCCTAAACATTACAAAATAGTTTAAAACTGCGATCATAATCCAGGAAGAAATACTTTGCCTTGAAATGTAATTGAAAATGCAGTTTAGTTGTATTGGAACATTCATTTTAGGACACAGGGTTTTAGGAATAAACTGATTAACTGGGAATATAAAGAAGCAATTGTAGTAATGGCTGTGTAAGAAATCACATACTAAGGGACTACATACCTCATACAAAATGTGCACATACTGCATATTACATACTACCTAGTAGATTAACGATTACTGTAAGTATAATTGTACTAGTATTGGTAAAAGATGTATCAGATGACCGCCAGCGGCTCTCACATCCCTGAAAAACGTGCAGCTCATTTCCAAACAGGCCTTACTTTAATAAACTGATCACATATTGGGACTCTAAATATTTACTTTTTTTTTGCATTTAAAATGATGTATACTCATTAATTAAGTGACACATTACCAGTGTTTAGCTTAGCTTTAAATCTTATAAAACCGACTCAGTCACAAAGCACCCAGATGCAATGCATTGTGGGGCAGTTGACTGGGTCGAGCACTGTAAGATCATGCTGCATACTCAGATATTCTTTCTCACGTGGCATTCGTCTTGCATTTCTTGCATACAAGAAATGCACATACTATGCTGTGTGAATGTCATACTTAAGACGGCTAGTGCGTCAGTATGAGGTTTCAAACACGGCCAATAATGTTGGTATTCTTCTATCCAAAAGTATTTCTCGGTTTTTCTCATTTCAAAGTGTACAAAATTCAGATTTCATTCAGCAGGTCTCCCTTGAAAAAGAGATCAATGATCTCAAGAGATACACCTGGATAAATAAAGGTTTGAAATGAAATGAAAATGATCCTTCTATCCAAAAGTATTTCTCGGTTTTTCTCATTTCAAAGTGTACAAAATTCAGACTGCATAAGAAATTACAAGCTATAGCTCTCTTTCCATCATGCTAAAAAACATTCAAACTATTACAAATAACTTTATGTACGAAACTGTTTTTTTGGTATAAAATAGTGCTTTACTCGCTTTTTTTCACACAAAGACTATTCTAGCAAACATCATGCCTAACTACAAAAAACCCAGAAACCCCATTTACGCATATTTTTTACATAACTGTGAATCACATGACTCAGTGGAATTTGAAAGGATTAGACCTGCTGATCTGGTTTCTGATTGGCTAGATTGAGATTTGATTACAGTTTAAGAACCATTGCCCTTCCTCACAACAATTATGTTTTTGGAATAGCATTTTGAGATATTAATATCAAACTGTATCAAAAACGGTATTTCTCAGGGCTCTGTGCAGACTATTAGAAGCCAATATGTCAGCTTTTAAGTCCTTAATCTCTGGTCCTGAGCAAAGTGCTGCACAATGAGAGAGATGACTGGATGGTGGCATTCATTAGGGAGAGAATGTGAGGAGAATAAAGAGACAGAGGAGGCAGATGGATATTATTGACTGATGCTATGTAAAACATTAGCAGTTTGCAGACATTGGGAAAATGGCAGAGAATGACAAGTGGCGATTGAGAACAATTGTCAAACAGTGCATAATGGTTGTAAATGCATCCATCTGGAATTACTGCGCCTTGTGATTCCCATTCTGCAGTTTATCTTCACTTATGAGCGCCAAAGCATTGGAGTGTTTCAACTCATTTACTCTGGGAGATTGTTATGAATGCTGCTTAGTTAGGACTGAGAAGCCAAGTGTGGCAGAATGTAGCTGTTTTCAAGTACTGGCTGATTCAAATTAAGGAAGATTATTAAAAAGCGTTTTCGTATCGTGTCAGGACTCATTTTGCTCCTGGTTCGATTGTTACCAGCATATTAAGTAGACGTGACTATCAGCCATTTGGATGCTTTTCATAAGGTCCATGCTACACAAACTAAAACGTTTTATCATCTACTCACACGGTAAAACACAAAAAGACCTATTAAGTGAAGGTGTGCCATGCCATTGTTCTGAAAGCAAATGGCCATTGTTCAGTAGTCCACACTACGAAGTTGGACTGTTCGGGGACTTGAACAGGCGACCGTCTATACACCAAGCCAACTCGCAACAACCGAGCTCCTGCCGTCCAACTTTTCCAACACAGCAGGCACAAAACACAGGACTTCCACACATAGACGGTATGACGTAGACATAGTAATTGTGACATCACCCGTTGGTTTGTGTCAATCCCAAGGTAGCCATGTCCAAAAGAATACCCTGCTTTTGTGTCTATTTTACTGTCAATGGGACCACACTTACAAGTAAACATTGTGCTTTATTGAAACAAAATTGAGATTTTAAATGAGGCGATAAACCCATCAGGTAAATGTTTACCAAGGTAATAATCAATTGTCAAGTTTTTTTTCCATTGACTTCTTTGCAATCCGACTTGTCACTACTAGAGGACTTGTGTCCACAATGTTACGTTTCACTTTTACTTTGTAAATAACGTAGTTATTTCAATCCAACACCTTATCAAGTCATTTTGTTGTATTTGCCAATAACGGTATTTAATATGCTGATAACATTTGAAAGGAGTGCCATATTACAGACAATATTTTCAATATCAGTCCCTTATTTATTTTCGAATGCTTCCTCCCTTGTCTCTCTCAATGCTACCCTCCGGTTGCTCTGTTGGCTTGCACAGGGATAGACTACCACAATGTGCCTCCCACAATGAAGCCAACTGCTTCTTTTCATCTGACAGCAAGGATTTAACCAGCTTTACCAGCAGGAGAAGCTAGTGTGAGCAACAAGGACATGCTCCCCCACCAGCCACCCACCCCCACCAGCCACCCACCTGTTTGTGTTGTTTGGGGATCCAGCCTAAAGCCAGAGGCATCCGTAAGCAGGTACTGACCCCCAGTCTCTGCAGCGATGAGTGGGTGTTTAATGTCTAGGCTCACTAAAGTCATCTACACACACACACAACTGAAACAGTCATTTTAACTGTTTTACTCCAAGGGTGCTACCCAATGACTACACTGCAGGATATAAAAATAGGGTTTAATTTGAATTGCTTAAAGCATTAAATCCCTTAAATATCTGTTGTTTGAAACGTGAGTTATTGCTCTTCAACAACAGTAAAAGGTTTTAAGATGCCATGGCTTACATTGATTTTGGAGCAGCTAAAGGTTCTGACAGTAGAATGGCTTATTTCTTAACAAGGCATTTTTAGATTACTGCCAATTGCCGTTTTAAAATTCTTAGGTGACACAATTTTAAAATGTATTCATTGCGGAGATTCAGCAAACACAACTCTGGCCAAATCTGGTAAATTGTGCAATGTGATTCTCCAAAAGCTTTTAGAATAAAAAACATTTGACATTAATCATTTAAAAAAAACTGTCTCTTAAAACAGATGTGGTCACAAAACTATATTGACCATATCAGGAAATTGTCACGTGAATTTATTTGATCTTACCCCTGTGTCACGATGGCTGCATCTAAAGTGTTAACACATGTAAATATGTTCTCTTTCTACACCTGAAGAGACATAATTCAGATTTTTCTAACCTTTTTTTGTATCAGGTAATATTAATGCTTTAGTTTTCTTTAAAAAAAAAAAAGGGATTTGTTTGGATAAAATGCATCTAAAAAAGAGCAAATATCAGGTGAAGGACATGTAATATTTAAACAAATATCCTATGCCTTTTATTGCTGGTCTGCTATCATTGGAAGAGGGTAGTGCAATTTAAATGACCCAATATGTGTCAGAAGTCCACATTATTTGCATATCAAAGAGCTAGTGTGCAACAAGTTGATTTTAATACATTCATTATTCACGACCCTTTAAATGAAAATCGTTAAAAAAACATTTCTTACTTGATTCGGGATTGGATATTGTTGTGTTCAATATTAGTTATTAAGGAAGTTATGACGGGTACAAATACCACTATGGGATTTTTGTATTTTTCTTTTATGTTCCCTCTCAATGAGTGTGTGGATTCTTAACTTAAGATAAGGTTATGGATTTTGGACTTTATTGACTGGAAAAGTGGCCATTTTTCCTCAAGTGCATTATGTTCACTTGTGGGTCTTTGTCAGCTTAATCATTTTTTATCATTTGGGTAATTTTCAAACAAGCCCATGCCAAAACACACCAGCCTCTCTGCGGAGCGGATGGCCCGGAGGATGAGGGACAGAGACTGGTTCATGGTGCTGTGACAGAGCACTTCCTTGGCTGCCGAGTTGTGTTTGAGAGCTCTGCTGGTGACGTTGCAATGCAGGACGGCTTCCTGTGAGAACCTGAGGACGGAGAACTGAGGGGTCCTCCCTGGGAGGCTGTACAGCAGGTTCCTATAGGGAGAAGGTGAGAGAGAAGGAGGACAATGTGTGTGAATAACTTCATATAAGTGGAAAATTGCCTCATTCCAACTGGACAAATAACCCACTAGTACTGACTGTAAACCATCCGCTCCTGCTTCAACACACACAAAGTGTTGCTTCTTTCTGTTGCTATGTGACCAGCGTTACATTGGATAAGTAGTCAAAACAATAATAATGTAGATAATATTAGATATGAGGCAGCAGTAGCTCAGTCTGTAGGGACTTGGCTTGGGAACCGAAGGGTCGCTGGTTCAATTCCCAATCATACCACACATATTGAATGTGGACTGATAGCTGGAGAGGTGCCAAGGTGTCCTCGAGCAAGATGTTCTTGAACAAGGCACAGACAACTGCACCTTAATATACTTAATCCAAATTTGGGAAACATTATTCTCACAATAATTTATTATTCTTTATTGCATTCATTTGTATAGTACTGTATCATGTCTGTATCATCTTTTGTTTCATTTGTATTTTCTTTGGTTTTACACGCTCGAAAAAAATAAAATAAACTAAACTAAACAATAGCCGCCTGTTAACAGGCTTTACAGGTCTGCTGAAAATATAATGAAATACAATAATTGATTAACATAAACAGTAAATACATGCATATCTACAGTAGAAAATACATATATCTATTGAGTATCTAAAGAATACGCAATATAAAATGTATAGAATAAATGTGAATACTCTATAATAGATTAACTATAAATTCAATTAATTATTACAGCTTATTAACTAAAAAAACATACAATCAATATGTTGTCCTCAAAGAAACCAGTCTCCATTGAAAGAAACAGCAATTTGACCTTGCTCCTGCTAGTAGAAATATACTTCATTCTGACTCAATAGAAACAAAATACAACTCAAAACCACCTTGATCAGTCTTTCCATTGTTCCAACAATCACAATTGGTTGAAATAAACCAAATGCACCAAGATTGGTCGGAAAGGAAGTAAGTAAGTAAGTACAACTTTATTTATATAGCACCCTTCTCAATATGAATGTACAAAGTGCTTTACAGTATACAGTACACAATACACAATTCATAGTACAAGTATAAAATGTAGAATAAAAGGCATAAAACACAGCAGGTAAAACACAGTATAAAACACCAATGACAAACAGCTACAAACACACCTCCTCCGGCGCCCCAAAGGCCTGTCGGAACAGGTGAGTCTTTAGCTGCCCCTTAAAAATCTCTACTGAGACAGAGGCTCTCAGTGTCCGGGGGAGTTTATTCCAAAACCTTGGGGCCACCGCCTCAAAGGCACAGTCCCCCTTAGTTTTTAGCCTGGTTCGGGGCACCCTTAGGAGGCCTTGCTCAGAGGACCTCAGGGCCCGGGTTGTGATGTGCGGGTGGATAAGGTCGTTGATGTAGGCTGGGGCTTGGCCATGGACAGCTCTATATGTGAAAACCAAGACCTTGAATTGGGTTCTGAGATGGACAGGGAGCCAGTGCAGGGCGGAAAGGATCGGAGTGATGTGGCAGGTTTTTTGAGACCGAGTGAGCAATCGGGCTGCAGCATTTTGGACCTGTTGTAGCCGGTTTATCGATGTTTTATTGAGGCAGGAGAAAAGGGCATTGCAATAATCAAGCCGGGATGAAATGAAGGCATGGATAGCCATCTCCATTTCTGCATTTGATAGAACCCCCCTGAGCTTGGCAATGTTCCTGAGATGGAAAAAACAGGCACGGGTCAGGAGTTTGATATGTTTGTCTAGTAGCATTGACTGATCGAAGGTAACACCAAGGTTTTTGATGTTTGCCCTAACGTTACCACTAAATGAACCCAGGTGGCTTGCTACCTTAGAGGCGATGTTATCAGCCGCTAAAGCCAATACTTCTGTTTTTGATGCATTGAGCTGTAGGAAGTTGCTTGACATCCACTCCTCGATTGCAGACAGACATGTAACCAGGGTGTTTAAGTTGTCCATTTTGGACAACTGGATATCATCTGCATAAAAATGATACGAGACACCCTTGAATTTGCTAATCAAGCTAATGGGAGCATATAAAGGGCAAAAAGAAGGGGGGCTAAAACAGAACCCTGGGGCAGGCCACAGGATAGGGGAGTGCTATGTGATGAGAACGGGCCTACCACCACAGAGAAACTTCTCCCACTGAGGTACGAGGCAAACCACTGGAGGGCAGACCCTGAGATGCCTACCCACTCCCTGAGTCTATCGAGCATGATGTCGTGGTCCACTGTGTCAAACACTGCACTCAGGTCCAACAACACCAGCACCACGCAGTCACCTGCATCCGATGCCATCATAATGTCACTGGAGACCCTGAGGAGAGCTGATTCTGTGGAGTGGTGTTTTCTGAAACCTGATTGGGATTTGTCAAGGATGTTATTGTCATTCAGAAATGTATTGAGTTGATTAGAAATGACTTTTTCTAAAACTTTTGACACAAATGGGAGCTTTGAGATGGGCCTGTACAATGGTATTTATGGTTTTAAATAGTACTCTGGGGTTGTGCTTACTAGAGGAGATGAGGTTGGAAAAATAAGTAGCCCGGGCGTTTTTGACTAAATTGTTATAATCACAGAAAAGGTCCTTCAGATGGAGACGGTGTACCTGGAGGCTGTTATAAGTTCTCCTCAAAGATACCAGACTCCATTGACAAACAATCATTTTACCGAGTTGATATCATAAAAGCCACTTAGTTTGAACTTGACAGAAGATTGCTCATTTGAACAATGAAAAAAAAAGATGAAATAAGTATCTTGTATAAAATAATGATCACAGGAACCGCCATCTACTGTTTTGACTCACACTGCTTTCTGAGTGAAACCAGAAAGACATTTTGGGTAACTGGAAATGGAAAATGATTCTATGGGTTTTCTGTGTTAAGAAACCCTGAAACAGTCTAAATGTTGGAAAAAGGGTAATGACACCCTGCACCCCGTCTGCCAGTGCAAGCAATGTGGGCCACATGATTATTACTTATAATTATTATCATTTTACATGTCTCTTTGTCTTCATGTCACACTGCTGTACCCACGATCATGCACACACGGCACATACATAAACGCAGACAAGCCTTCGGGTGGGGCGGAGCAGTGGCTTGTAGGTCAGAGCGGCAGAGACTGCACAGTGCTGCTGCCCTCTGGGCTGAAGTACATCGATTTCTATTAAAATGGCTGAACAGACAGTCTTACGGAGTAAATGGAGTGATTTTTCATCTGTTAAGACACAGTTTGTGAGCTGTAGGGTTTGAAGGAACCTCGACCTTCAGCACACAATTGTAGACTCAAAGTCAGATGTATCTCTACACCTACAGTGAGGCTCATGTATGCTATATATTTGCTTTGAATGGTTATTATCTATAAATATTTAAATAACGTAATGTTTATACGTTTGTTGCTTGATGTAAGTAGCTGTCATTCATCACATAATCCATGTTTGCTAGCTCGGAATCTTCTGTGTTTGACTTTATGACAACATACTCTCTTCTATGCTGCAGCCAACACAAAGTGTATTTGTTCAAATTAAAATGAGTCGGCACTTTCAACTGTGTTGCCATACAATGATAACATACCTTTCACATTAATAACACAACAGATGTCTATATGAAACAGAATCCGTTGTAATGCTCTCCAGATTATTTTCAAGTTTCTCTAAATTGGTTTTCATACTGTTCTGAAAAGAATGGACAACAGTGGCTAACTATTGATTCTCGATAACCCTAAAATGTTCTCAATGAGGTATTTCTATAACAATTATTACATTTATTTTACAATTTGCATGAATGCAATTATGGTGTCTGTCCGTAGTAAGTGAACTGTTCTGGTCAGATCACCCAAACTCTTTGGCTTCTTTACGGGCATTCCAGAAAACTGTAAACACAGCATTACGTTTTAAAGTTGAAATGTTACAAAATATACGCATCCAGCTCAATGGTTGTTCTGATTGGCTGGTAGAGATGTCACATGTAACAATGTGAGCGTTAAAGATAACAGCAAAAGAGAGTTAATGTGTTTGTTTAAAGGTTTGTTTACTAAAGGCTCTTAATGTCTGTTGCGACCTGGCTCAAAAGGCCACAACAAAAAGGAGACACAACATGTCAACGGGTAGGTAAAGGTGTTTATTTGCACAACACTGGTCAATTCAACACATTGGTTATACTCATCAGAGCCGGGTTCCTGCAGGAAAACAGCGCGAGAGAGCAGACAGGAGCAGAGAGGCTTTAAAATAGCTGCAGAGCACCAGACCCAGGTGCCCTGAGTTACTGCAATCGGTGCAATCACTGGAGCCAATGCAGCACAGACAGAACAGCCACACCCTATCTACTGATGCACCCACAGGGGCATCACAGCCCCCCCCTTAAGACGGGGCCCCAAAGGGGTCCACGACAACCCAACATCCTTCTTCTTAACTCCAGCTTTTTACTTTCCATCTTAGGACTGGAGGACGCTCCTCCTCCGCCTCTGTCTTCGAGCTCTTGCCTTGCGATTTCGTACTGCTTCTTCGATTCCACTGCCTTTATGTCCCACTCCTCCTTGGGTTGGCTGGCGTTGAGCCACAGCATGTAGGCGCTCATCGGCCTCTTGGGCGCGCTGACCTCCTTCGGCCTCCTCTTCTTCGCTTTGCGGCGTTTCCTCTCTTTCTTCTCCTTCACCTTTGTCTCGATCTGAAAGTCAAAGGACCGTGTTGGGCCACTTTTTCCAGACTCCGAAACAGGTAGGTCAGTAGACATCCTACGGCTCTGCACACGCGTAATAGTATAAAAAGGAGACACACTTGGAAATTGCAAACCACTCTTATCTGGCTCTACAGATGCCAACGGTCTGGAAACCACCACAGGCGGTGGCACACCTGCCCACACCACACAACCAGCAAGATCGTTGCCCAAAATCATCTGTACCCCATCAAGTGGCAATGCGGGACGCACGCCGATAGACACAACTCCCCGTACTAGCTCACAATTCAGCACTACTGTATGACGTCGCACAGGAATC